TACACATTGCGAAGAAAATTATATCTACATATTTCATTACAACATACTTCTTTCAGTACCTTTTTGACACTAGGTTCAATACTCAACAGTTTACACAATGAAAAGCGTATAACTTAGCCTTTATTAAACAGTTCTACACTAAGGGATGTAATAAGAATGGAAAGTCCGTCGACAACCTGTATTAAACGTAATAATTCTCCCCATGCCCTTGTGCTAATGTATACATGTATACCGAAGCAAATAAAATATGGCAATATGTATATAAAGATTTGATTACTTATTCTTTATTATGTGTATAGAAGATTCTTTTTATATGGAATATTTAACACACTGTAATGATGATCTTATGAGTTTGTACAAGCCACACCCCGTAATTTTTTCAGTTCACTTGCTGAATACTATTATTTAATTAATAAAAAAAAAGTATTTCGGGGGGAAAAAAAAAGATAGTGAATCGCCTGGGAATCGAACCCGGGCCCTCTCACATGTGAAGCGAGAGACATACCACTAGACCACGCAGCCGCTCTTATATAAACGAATTATATGCAATCATTAAGTCACATACATGTATATATTCATGTTCGGTATTGTAAAATTTTACACAATCCACGGTGTTTGTTTTATTTAGCCTTAATTAAACAGTTCTAATAGATGTAATAAGAACATAACGTCCGCCGAGAACCTGTTTTATACGCAATAACTCTCCTCATGCCCCTGTGCTAAAATTAGCGACATGTAATACTAGAAATACTGATAAAGCAAACGGGGCGGGGTACTTTGAGAGGGGTGAGAGAGGTCCTAGGGAGTTTTGATATAGAATTACAATGCATTTATAAGCTCAAAATGTTCTTGAAACATCGTCCGGAAATGAAAGTGTTACACACAGACAGAATGTATAAATTTACGACCTTGAACTTTGACCTTTTGACCTCAAAATCAATAGGGGTCTTCATTAGGCTACAGGAAGTTGTTATGTAAAATTTCATTGCAATAGCTCAAATGATTCTTGAGATATTGTGTGGAAACGAAAGTGTTATAACAGACAGAATTTGCTTATTTATGACCTTGACCTTTGACTTTTTGACCTCAAAATCAATAGGGGTCTTCCTTAGGCCACAGGGAGTTGCTATGCTAAATTTCATTGCAAAAGCTCAAAGGGTTCTCGAGATATCGTGTGGAAACGAAAGCGTTACAGAGAGACAGAAAGACGGACGGACGGACGGACAGACGGACGGACGGACGGACAAACCCAAATTAATATCCCCCACTTTTCAAGCGGGGGACAAATATTGACCAGTTTTTATACAGGATCATCATTTTTAGCGATATAGTGGAGTCTTTGCCGCATATCTTGAGATATGCAAAATCCCAGTCAACGAACAAGAAGTATGACATATATTTCTCTAAATTCAGAGACTGCTGTTCGAAGCATTCATTAACGCATCATCCGGCATCAGTGTTTACTGTGCCTCATTTTTATGAGAGGTTTGGTGCAACAGAGGGTATCAAGGTCTGTTCCGGAAGCGTATTTCTACAGTATAAGTTTGACTCAAGAATTTTCTTCAAATTTGAATGAATGCGAGAACAAGTTTCTGAAACTAGTGTTGAAGGTGGAAGGCGTATGTTATCAAAACCTATCAGCAATATAAAACATATCACCACAGATATATTTACGTAAATTAATGGATTTTTCTTGCAAGGATCCTTCAGATGTGCTGAAATTAAGATCGTTGTAATATGTTTTTATTGTGATTTTCTGGTTTCTTTAGATTCAGTGTATTATAAAGTATTCGATTATGTGATATCAAATGGGAAAGTGCTCACATCGAAATTATTATTCCCAGAAGTAAAACAGATATCTTCAGTAGAGGAAATTCAAATAAATCCAAGCCTCTGTCATATACAAGATCTAGAGAAATATTGTTGTCCTTCTTGAAATGAAATTGGCCTTTTACAGTTCTAAATATTCTTTGCATAGTTTACATAGCGGCGGAGTTACAGCCGCTGTTAATAATTATGTGTCTGATCGATTGCTTAAAATACATGGTCGGTGGGTCGCAGATAATAGAAAATATTAATTTTCGGAGGAGTGAAACGAGGGAGAAAATAAATTTATTTCTTTACGTTTTTACTTCGGTATATTCCGTGAAATTTCGTAACAAACGAAACAATAACGTGATCGAGAGTTCAAGGGGATAACTGTATCAAAAATTGCTCGATCGGGTCTTAATAAAAAAAAGTTTGGCGTCTCCTAATTAACCAACTAGCTATTATGGCCCAACTCCAAACTTTTTTTATTATATTTCATGTTACGGAATTCCTTTGTTATTCCTCTTATCCTGTCAACAACAAAAATTTCCCACCTGTAGCTACATATCGACCTATACTTTAATATTTTAGAGGTGGTCTGGTACCCAAATGAAAACCTTGCCTAGATGATGATAAAACTACCAATAACCGGAATTTTGAATTAAGTCCATGGAGCATAGATGTCACAACATGCTCGAACACCCCCCCCCCATTTAAAAAAAAAACTTGACCTAGATATAAAGTCCAAGGGCCATCTTCTTAATTACAAGAATCTCTTAAAAGTATAGAAAAAAATATATTCTTGAAAACTTTGTGACTTTTTACAAAAAATGAAATAAGAAGTATCAATCGGTATAAATTCTTTTGTTTTTTAAAGGCTTGATATTTAGTATTTACGGAACTACTTTTTTTTTAATCGTTACACTCACTTTCATTTTAAAATCAAGGAGACAAAGATGATATTTACTACTAGAAAGCTGAAATCACGTAACATCTTTGACAAAACATACATACAAACAATTAATCTTTATACAAATTTCGAAGTCAATTAGGCGACAACCCGAACTATTTTATATATGACAACAGAGGTTTAAGTGGAGCTTGCAGATTGCGCCCCCTGGTGAGCGATTTAGTATCCTGGCACGCAGTTAAGCCTCTGGACCAGACCAAAACGGCTACATCGTCAAACGTGGCACAAAGAACTTGCTGACAAAGTTGCGTAGATGAGGACTTGCATTTAGTGCGCCATTAGAAACTGCGCACAAAATACTCAGACTCTTCTTGGCCTAATTGTAAAAGTGGTAGACCACTACAAGATCCAACATCTTAACTGTTCTGTTTACAGCAGATCCTTATAACAATAATGTTGTCACCAAAGACCCTCCAACGGAGCAGCTTTATCGCAATGCAATTCGAATACCTATCAGTCGGATATTATGAAACCAAAAACAAAAAACAAAACCATCGAACGACGCATCTGAAGTATGTTTCGTGAGCTTTCAAAGTGCTACAAATCATCCACCAACAAAATCCAGACGTGTTTGTGAAACACTGAAGCCCCCGTTTGACAGCTTTTTGAAAAGGTTGCAGTTTCTAAAGTGCAATTCTAAACTCAATGTCAAGTCTTAGTACCAACTGTTTAAAATTGATGGCAAAGGTTAATGTACTTTATTAGGTTAGTCAAACTTTAAGGTCAAGATAAAAAAATAATAAAACCATCTGAAAGATCTTTCATATTGAATACACATACATGTATAAAGGATGAAAGCCATAGCACCAACTGTTCAAAAGTTATGGCCAAGGTTAGTTTGGTATTCATTTTTTAAGTGGGTCAAACTCAAAGATCAAGAGGTTAAATTTAGTGGTACCTAAAGATAGGTCCTTTCACAAGGAATTTAAAGAAACAGTCGAAGCCAATTACAAGTTATGAACAAGTTAAAAATTTTACAGACAGGGCAAAAACTTTACACCCCCGAAGCTTCGATAACTTTGGTGCTGAGAAGACCTTTATAGATATTAACGTCATTAAGGTCAGCGTCATAATTTCATTTACGCTGTCCGTTTTAACACTTTCGTTTCTGAGCGATATCTTGAGAAGCTTTTGAGCCTTTGTCAAATTTTATACCACTACAATATAGATCGAAGCTCGACCAGAGACGTCTGAAAGGGTTAGTTCTAGGCAGTTACAAGAAAAATAATTAACTGTATACTTCTCATGCTGGAAAGTATAAGACGTCTTTCAATCTTGCAGTAGTTGCACAGGTCAGTGCATTATAGAAACAAACATAAATACACGTTACTGCAATAAAATACAAGAGGCCCATGGGCCCTATAGGTCACCTGAGTATCATGTAACAATTTATCTTTCCGACAATGGAATTTGGTTCGTGTTTTAAACCAAAGTCCATGAAAATTCACAAATTTGAAAGCACCATTGCTTATCATAATTATTCACTAAGCATGCTTACTCTATTTACTTAGTACCCAGAGGTAGATCAGAGTAACAGAGAAAATTCACTTCCACTTTATAATCAATTGTGCACCCCATCCCACAGGAACCACTGACCCTGGGGCCACATATTTCAAAATTGAAATTTTAACTTAAATTTTATTTCATCATAAATGGTTGATTAATACCAAAGAGTAGAAGATTTCAATGCCATTAATTTATTTTCAGACTATGTACTCCCCCCCCCTCCCCGATATCCCTGACCCAGGAGGCATGGAATTAACTATTTTGCTAGAAGCAACCTTCTTCGTCACAAATATAAACCTAGATCATTGGCATAATACCCAGGAGCAAAGGAAAAGATTTTCAAAGAAATAATGTATATTCACTATATAGTCAAAAGAGCCCTCCCCCCTTTTAAACCAAATAGCTGATTTCCTGATTGTACGTTGTTAAACATTCTTCTCAGATTTTTCACTCATATGGAGACGCTACCACTTTCCGGTGGAGAGCTACAAATTTTGCCCTATACTCGACACTCGAGCAGTGATTGATCTTTTTCGTGCAAGCACCTACTGCGACACGGGTCCTCGGTTAATACATTCTCATCCAAAGGATTGGTCTCCAAGTCCCACACTGGGATAAGAACTGACTCTTTACTTTGCGACTCTAGAGCAGACGCTCTAACCACCGCCACGAGGGCTAATGCTAGATAGCCAGCACGAAAACGCAGGTCGCAATACTCTAGTTCATGGTAAACATTTGATCGAATGCGATTCCAGCATCACCGATGCGCTTCGCCGCAAGTCACGCGTGATGATGCGAGACTTGTACAGACTGGGTGCAACGTGCAAAGATGGCGTAACGAACTTTGTCAACATTGCTTTTAATTTAGATCTATCTTACTTTCACGATAACAGCAACCATTGCGATGGAGAAAACAGACAGGTTTACTAGCGAGTGGTTTCTGCATCAAAAGGGGGATTGGGTTCGTACGTTATCAAAAATTCCTGAGTTCGATGTAGGCAAATTAAAGCATTATTTGACTGAAAGTAGAAACAAGACTTTTGACAAAGAAGGTATGAGAGCTTACAAATCGTTAAAAGCGTACAAGTTTTTTGAGGAGGGGTATGTGCAGAAGATTTCGTCACTGCAGATGGACAACTCTTTCCTTGCACGGGCAGAGGTGATGGCTTCCATGGCACAAAGAGTGTACAAACCGTACGTTTGTCTAAGTCTCGAAGGGGATGTCCAGGGTGGATCCTGTGATTGTGTCGCAGGGTGAGAACTTATTTCATGAATAAATAATGAGCTCTGAGCATGGAATTTCCCTGTTTTATTAATACACTTTAACAGACCATCCAGCAAGGCAGTGGTTTAATTTATAAACTACTCAGGCACTGTTATTAAGCACTGTATTTGGTTAAAAAAAAATATATATAAGGACATTAAAAAAATATATATGTTTGGTTGCCTTATCCCCGTTGACTGGCTAAAAATTGACCAACTAAAAAAAATTAACTACCAGGAAGCATTTTCGAATTTTGAAAATTCAGCATATTGAATTTGAAACTTTTTTTTTTTGCATGTTTTGGGAACATATTCTCCCCGAGGCCCTACCATCCCCATTCTTTCATCCTGGAAGAGGGCAAGCAAACATATTTTTTTTAATTCAATGACCTTAAAAAAGAAAAATTGTGTCAGGTACCAAACAAACAAAGAAAATCAAACAACACTTAATTGTTGTATAAATCAAGCTACCGGGTACTTTTTTTTTAAAACAATACTTCATTATTTCATAGATTATTATATACTTTAAATGGATTTTATTTAGCAGTGTATTCTATTCAGCAGAAAACATTGTCTGCTAAATCATGACGTACATTTCTAAATGTCTTGTTTATGTAGATTTATATCGCGCACATTGAGATAGTGCTAAATCAAATCTGTGCCAACTTGAAACATAAATTTCTGCCAAATATCAAACAAATAAAATATAATACATTTAGAATAAATTCATGGATATGGGTTTGATACCCATGGAAATGAAGATTCCACAGTGCTAGAGAAAATAAATACAAAATATGAATACATGTACTGCTTATGGGCATTAGAAATTTGGTTTTAAAATATTGCCCTTTGAGGCCCGACATGACAATTTTAATTATTTTAGACTATAATTTGTAGGAAGGGTGAGGCATGCGGCCATATAGCAGCATTGCTGTTTGCATTGGATGACTTTGTTGCTAAGGGACTGAAAGATCTACCAGAGGACAGGTCTTCTACAGAAAAACTGTGCCAATGGAACAAACCAGCAAAGAGAAAGACAGAGCCTAAAACTATACACAATATCAGGATAGTCAAGTATGGTCATTATTAATGAGTAATTCACATTCAT